TCCCACTCGCACAGAACATAAAAACTGGTCAATATTCAAAAATAAATTAAGTGTGCTCACTAATATGTTCATTCCGAGGGTTACCTTTCATACTAATCACAATACGCTATGGTTTTCTGTACGTTTGAAACGGCTGGAAAATAAAAAGAAACGGCTCTTCCGTTCGTCCAAACGCCATCACACGCGGAGTGACTGGGATAAATACTTCGAAGTTGAAAAATCATATCTAGTTGAGATCCGGAACGCCAAGCATACATTTTATCACGATGACTTACCAAAGCTACTAACCAGCAACCCCAGGAAACTTTGCCAACTTTTCAATCCAAAGCAGACTCACGACATCACACTGACTAACAATGCGCATGAACCAGTGACAGACCATGAAGATGGGGAAATATTTAACACCGCATTCGCATCTGTCTTTACTCAAGAACTTGACGCACCTTCACAGTCACCATCAGTTAACATCGAAGCATTCATGCCAACTATCTCGTTTTTCGAAGAAGGCATTGCGTCCGTAATCGATAACATGAAGCTTTCATTATCAGCCGGTATGGACTCAATTAATTCTAAGCTACTGAATAATGGTAAATCAATTTGTGCCACCTATTTATCTTTGATTTTTTCACAGTCACTCGCCTCAGGAATCATTCCAGATGACTGGAAAACGGGGAAGGTCGTTCCAGTGTACAAATCAGGTAACAGAGACTCACCCTTGAACTACCACCCAATTTCATTAACTAGTGTACCCTGTAAAATCATGGAACACGTCATTTACTCTCAAATAGCAAGTTTCTTGGACTCATGTAATTTTTTTCATCGATCACAACACGGATTTTGTAAAGGTCACTCCTGCGAAACACAATTAGCGCTCTTTCTTCACGACTTGCACACTAACCTAGACCGTGACATGCAGACTGATGTAATTTTTCTAGACTATGCGAAAGCGTTCGATAAAGTTCCTCACCGCCGCCTTTTGCTAAAACTTTCACACCTGCACCTAGACCCTCCGTGTGCTCAGATTTGAGTGCACGTTAAAGAATTCCAGGTGGTCGAAATTTCCGGAGCCCTCCACTACGGCGTCTCTCATAATCATATGGTGGTTTTGGGACGTTAAACCCCACATATCAATCAATAAATGCACATAGACCCTAACATTCTTCGTTGGATTGAACAGTTTCTCGCTAACCGTTCTCAGTCAGTCTTTGTTAATGGCCACCTATCTCTCTCCCAGTCACATCAGGCGTTCCCCAAGGATCTGTCCTTGGTCCCCTTCTTTTCCTAATATATATTAACGACTTGCCCGACCATGTATCCTGCAGCATTCGCATGTTCGCGGACGACTGTGCCATTTGTCACACTATCAGTAACCAGCATGATCACTTGTATCTCCAAACCAATCTTAACAACGTGCTTAATTGGTGTAACACACGGTTAATGACCCTTAATCCTTCTAAATGTAAACTTGTGTCATTTTCTCGTCGCCACAGCCCATATCGCTTCCAGTATTCCATCGTTAACACCGCAACTGAATCAGTACCATCTTATAAATATCTTGGAATAACCTTGTCTTATGATTTATCATGGCGTACCCACATCGCTAATGTAGTTTCAGCATCTAATAAAGCACTTGGTTTTCTCAAACGCCATCTCCGCCTAGCCCCACTACATGTAAAATTACTTGCGTACAAATCTTTAATCAGACCGAAATCAGAATGTGCATCTGCCATAAGGAGCCCACATCAAGCGTATTTAATCAAAGCATTAGAAGCAGTACAAAACCGTGCTGCCAGATTCATTCACTCATCTTACTCATACGATATCAGTAGTTCATCTTTGAAAGCGAAATCTGGACTGCCACCCCTTTCTTTGCGTCGCCGCACTGCAACTCTCGTGCTTTATCACAAATTATTTCATCCTTCTCTCAATCAGCCACCTTATATAGTAGCCGCAGCACACATATCTCATCGAACCAGTCATCCATTTCAGGTTTCCCGCGCATCATCGCGCACCACTGCTTTTTCTGCCTCGTTCTGTTTTCGAGCAGCCACGGACTGGAACGGCCTCCCCCGGGACATCGCCAACATAGCCTCATCATCTGCCTTTCAAGACCGTATTATTGATCATCTTCAATGCTTAAACAACTCTTACTGCTTATTGTTAACCTAAATAAAACCCCACCCCTTATCTAATGCCCCTCCTAGAAAGGGGGGGGGGGCTTTAGGGTAATAAACTGAACTGAACTGAACTGAAATGCTGCATGTACTGGTAAATTCTGGATACAGTGGAATGTATAACGTCCAAATATAATTCCTTTATGATCCAAGATGTCCTAAGTGCAGGATGTCCTAAGGAACTCGTTTTTTGTCTCATTTTGGAGCCTTCATGGAGGTTTCCGGGAAATATCTGGGACATCCTTAAAAGTTCCCACACATCCTAAGCAGCACATCCTAGGGGAATCCAAAGGATGCCTCTGTGTTGTCTGGGGTATTACGTCTGTTTACCTGGTTGAGAAAAATGGAAGGAATGCTGTTGCATAGCTTAGCGGGTTTGTGCATAGCATTTTCTTGCCGGTGTTCCGACTACTTCATCGCGGTATTATCGATCTTCATCGCGCTACAACCACAAATATTTTTCAACTAACGTCTAAGATCACGCCTTATGTTGAGAACGACCATTACTTCTGCAATGATGCCAGAGTTTTTTGTCAACACATTTTTTAAAACAGTTCCTTAAGCTTACACTTTGTTAACAATACACTTCAGCAAGAGTGGTTTTGCTAGCCATTTGCGTTTTTTTATTATGCATTCTTGGCGGGATAGGTCAAATGTTATTCTGCAGCTTTAATTTCTTATTAGTGTATTCAGCACATATTGAAGTTGATTTCCACTAAGATGTTAAGTCGCCCTACTGAACGATTGTTTTCAAACAAAGAGAGACGCACACCAGGTGCTTAATACATGCCCCCTTCCTGCTTACAATACTGCGTTCGAAGGCGGGCGCATGGGGGCATGGGGGGGGCGGCCACTTTCCTAGTCACCTAAGAAAGGGTGGGGGCGAAAATCCAGCCCCGTACATTGACATGATATCATGGGGGCGTGCTGCGACTGGGGGGTGGGGGGTGGGGGTGCAAAGTCATATTGAATTAATCAGGAGGGGGGTACTGCGGAAAACTTTCTCCCCTACCCTCCACCTCTGTAGGGGAATCTTGCGCACTAAGGTTGTGTTGACTGTCGCTTGGTGTAGCGTGTTCGAACTCATTCAGCTGCGAGACTTGTGTGGAAGATTCATCAATGTGCGAGAACAGAACTTTCGGCTATCGATCACCTATTGTGACGCTGTTCCGAATTTAAACAACATTACCGTACTCTCCTGTGTTCCTTCAGGAGGCTTTATGGTCGGCCCATCCCTGGACGAGAGATCTTGGGAGTCTGGCTTGAAATCACATCAGCCCAGAAAACTACAAGAGCCTACGTGCAGTACTTTAAAACAAGAGAATTGAGCGACCGCCTGCGACACGCTCTTCTGTGTGTGTCTGTTGTGAAACAAGTCTCCATTATTATCTCTTTCCTTTTCCGCCCCATGAGTATAGGGTAGCGAACTGGACGCAAGTTAACCTGCTTCTTATCAACTCTTTATTTCTCTCTCTCCTTCTTACGAAAAAAAAAACTGCAGAAGATTAAGTATTGAGAAAGCCTGTTAAGATGGAGGCTTGTCTTCGTCAGGGCCTTGATGGAAACTTGTGCCTTTGTCAAATACATTGCATATTCGACTGCCTCTTCACTTCATCTTGGTGTTTTATTCAGCAGAGTTAATGAGGCGACGCTCACATATTGCAACATGGCTATATCTGTGCCAGGTCCTAAGCTTTGTCATATTGTATTGCTAGTTGTTTACAACGATTTTGCTAACGATGAATCGTGCAACAAGAGGTTCTTTTCTTGAAGGTTGGATGCCATATAGCTGCATTTGAACTACCGTGACATTCGGTGTTATTTTTCCGCTTCCGTATGAGGTCATCCATTCGCATGTTGTATCTAATTTTGTGGTTTTTACGTTTCTATGCTGTACAGGAATAGTTGCTGTTTTAGTTAATAAATATACGTGACCACTTTTGTCTGTGGTTCTACTGAGCTCTCGTTCTGTAATAGTAATTACAGAATGATGTAACTGTAATTACTTTAAAAGAGAGGATTTGCTATAAACGTGCACTAATTTCATGCGCAAAAGCAAGATGGCAGAAAGAAACGAGATTCAACGTGATGTCCTAAAAACGTCTAGAAAACGCCTTTTCAAAGACAATGCAATGAGGTATTTTAGGTATCTGGCAAACCATTTTATAGAATAGGATTTAAGACGTTTATAAAACGTCCTCAGGCAGAATGTTATTTTTTGTGACGTTTTGAACGTTCTCTAGAGAATCTTAAAGACGGATTTTGGCCAGACATTAGACGAGATGAAATACGTTTGCTAGATATTGCGTTTCTTCTTCATGACGTTTTGTAGACGTATATATGGTCTTGGATAAACGTTTATAAAACGTTCATTATCCTTTTTTGTGTAACCTGGAACATGGTTCCAAAGGCCTTGACAATGAACACGTCCAGCCGTAAACTTTTATGCATCCGGTACCGAGACTGACGAATTCGCGTCTCTCGAAAGTGATCGTATTCCGAAAAGACTTGACCACTACACTACAGAATTATTGGGAAAGAGAGATACTACATAGGGAGCGTGCATGCAATCCAAGAGGCACTTGAGAGACGGTAATACCGCTATTTGACTCGTTTAGGTAACCTCTCTTTAGTTCCGCCACTATGATTTTTGAACATCATGTTGTCTGTCTAAATAAGCGAGTTTTGTCTATCGCGCAGTGAAATACACTTTGGGAGCTTTGTCACCCACGCTTATTGCTCGCGGTCGCTTTGCAGTCAAGTTCTCGTAATTTTTTTACACTAGTGTGTTCATTGAAGACCCCCGTGGCTCGTGCAGTAGTACGGTCAGACTGATCGTTCAAAGCGGCTGCTCCTTCGGGCACTTCCAGGTCCTTCCTTAGTGGCTTGTGCTGACTCGTTTGATGCCGAGCTGGTGAAATGCGTGACGACGGCCCGCTGTGAATCGGCGGCGAGGGGCACCACCTGTCGCGTTGCCTCCACTTCGTCTCGCTGTTGGTCCAGCTCATCCTGCATCATGCTTTGGACGCGCTTCGTCAAATCCGACACATCACGCAGGGTCAAACCGTCGGTGCTGACTACGGGCAGCACGGTCAATTTAATAACACCTGCATACAAAATTAAGTGACACACTGTTGAACGAATGAGAAGTGCGCATGCACCACAAAAGAGAGTTGTTTAATTTGCATTTGAGAGTGCGAATTATGCAAGTTCGTAAAGCACAAGATTATAAAAGTGGTCATGAGGGGGTACAAGTTCTTGTTTGTCTTGAGCGATGTACCGCATCGATGGCTTCCTGATATTTTTATGCTACTTGCATTGTGTGCGCGATGGACAAATATACTGCGGTCTAAGCTTGAGCGTGCGGCAATCTCTGCGTTACACAAGCGATTGCGCATCGTATGCGGCAAAGGAACCAATGTCTGTGCTGGAGCTCCGCAAGATGGTAGTGGTGTGGGGGAGTTGAGAGACGAATTCCTCAAGAGCAGGGGTTTCAATCACATCAGCTACCAAGCTGCAATCACGAAATTTAGCTATACAACGGGCCTGGTACTATGAAGAAGTGGTAGCAGCTAGGGGAGGGGGGAGGGGTTAAGCACAATATTAGCTAACGTTGCCATTGCGTAGAAGGCCTTTCCAACATCTAATTTCGGGGATTTGGCATCGGGATTCTAGAAACATATTGATGCCGATCTTTACAGTGACTAAAGTGTTAACGCCAATCCAAGTTTTTGTTCCTCTGATATGTTTGAACACAATGTGATCGCATGGTGTGCCTTACGAAGAAAATATGGACCATGCCCCTGAAGGAAACCATGATGGGATGCGAAGCAACAGTGGTGCTCACGCCGTTGACCCGGCTGAAACGGGCGTCGACGCGGGTGCTGGAAGAATGGATTGAAGCGAAACTCGGTGTAGCCTTTACTCGAGTAAACTTTTCTTTGAAACGCAAAGACACTGGAGGCGGGTTGGGTTTTGTGCAAGTTTCATCGCAGATAAACAAACCAAAAAAGTGTTTCCACTCGACGTGCGGTCGAGCGTTGCGGGCAGTGGAAAGAATATGAATAGAGAGGGAAGTGTGTTGCGAGCGGGCGGAGGAGAAACACCACCAAGGTGTGTTGGAAAGAGCCGGCCGCTGCTGCGAGTGGGGAAGAGAGTGACGTCAACGCGCAGCTGTTACTTGACCTACTTGGCATCGTTCCAACAACTGCACGGGGTGAACGCGGTGCAGCGCGTTGGCCCGGAGACACGGACAGACAGCGTTACACAGGTTAGTCAAAGAGTTGCTTCGCATTTAAAAAATATTAAATAAAACGAAAATTGGTGAAGCTTAAAATAAGCCGTGGAAGGCTTGAAACAGCGAAACTGGACGAATCATAAGACTAATCTGGTTGCTCTCATATTTTTGCCGGCTCTAGCTGATGCTGTATGAGTTGCGTATCGGCGCATATAGGTTCGAGTTCAACCACAGACAGTCAAGGACACAGCACGTATGTCCACACTCCACAAACAGAAACTCACACTGAAACCAAGCGCTCGCACCTCTCATAGATGTGCATGGGCAAGTCGTCGTTGGCGTATATGCCATCCATCGCTTAAGCGTCTTCTAGCAGCCGACGTTGCCTTTTTCGTTTCCTATCTCTCGTTGTACACATACTCTGACTCATCACCGTGTCTTTGCAGCCATTTGATGGGCTAACTGTTGCCTTTTTAATATTTATTGAACCAGTTGTGCATGAGTAGTGGGTGTACCCGATTTCTGCGGTACATGCACGTTTATGAGAAGGATAGATTTCTGGATCAATTCGCAAGGAACGATTCGCTGAACAGCTTCTGGCCTAGCTGGGTAGCTCGCCCGAACAAAGCGTTATTAATCACAATGGCCGAAAAAATAATGCGGTCGCATTTAGCAATATTACGAAGATTCGCAAAGTGATAAAGAAAATACCGAACGAAGAGCGTCATGTGCGGGCCGCTAGCGAAATGTCGATGGGTCGTATGCGCCAAGCGGGCCATACGTGTTTGAAACTCCTGGTCTGCAATCACTGCATATCACTCATTCAGGCTTAATGTAGCATGTCCAGTAACTGTATGTTCTCTACAAAAATGTCGGATCATATATGTATACATGTATACACACAAGGATATGCATTATGTCCACCATGATGGCTCAGCGGGGGCTCGGCTGTTGACCTAAAGGTGGCCGGTTCGACCCTGCCGTGATGGAGACTTTTCGGTGAAGGCGAAGTGTGCCCGTGAAGTGTGTGATGTCAGTGCACGCTAAATAACACCAGATGGTCGAAGTTTCCGGAGCCAGGCCTCCACTATGGCATCTCTCATATCGTGGTTATGGGGACGTAAAACCCCAGATTACTATTAAGAATGTGTATTATGGGGTATACCACCTCCAGCAAGTAGTCTCAAATGCAGTAGACCGCTTATTCTTCGCGTGCGTTATGTGCGTGGCTTCTGTATTTGACGTACAGCTAAAGCTCATTAATACAGATTTCACGTGACGGAAAAAAAAAATGTTTTAATTAGCCGGATTTCGCATTATCGAAGGTATCAAGAAAACAGTACAAAATGTTTATTACGTCAACACACTGGCGTTTTCTTGACGAATATGGCAATCCGGTACTTACTTTGCATAAGAGCCGTCAATAGCGGCACTTTTTGCCACTCGCACCTTTGTCCACAATGTCGCCACGGACTGAAAACCTCTCTGTCCTATAACTAACCCGAAACTGGCTAACCTGAAGTCAGCCAGAAACGTCGTTATGCCCGCGTTACCGTACTATAACCGTACGATTCGCGCTGATGGCGATGGTGATGCAGAATGTGTGACCTCGTGTTGGCTCCTTTGCATCGCACTATCAACGCGCGAGGCGCGCTCTGGGGATCATCCGAATGAACGCGGGTTGCGGCCAAACACGACCGAATGAACGAGTGTTCGATGTAACATCGAACAATACAGGCTTGCTGAGACCAGGGAATCCGTCTGAATTTCTCAGATTTCCTGAATTAACGACCTTTTACTGCAATGTAGCCCTTGTTTTTCCTGACCAGATTATGTTTTCAAAGCGCCCTCGTTCTAATTTCGTCCCTTCCTCGTTTTAGGAATTTGTGGTCTGACGTAACGAAGTGCAGACGCTTCCTGCGAGCCGGGCGCGGCCAGTTTCAATATCGGCATAAAAAATTCGATTGCGAACATATCATATTGCGTGCAACTTTTGTGAGTACTAAAAAAATGGATACGTCATAAGTTGTCGCAACTTTTTGGTATAAACAGTGGTCCTCAAATCCGCAATTAAAATGTATTGAAAAAAAAAAACCCAGTTTTTTTGTAAATTAGTCACTTCGATATCACTTCAGTGCGGCCAACAATTTCCGCCGTCATGTGCGAATACGGAAGAAGTCTGATTATGAAAGAATTTTCATGAAAAAATTATTAAATTGTCTAAAAGGTTACACCCTGAGCAGTGTACTAAAATTGTACAGAACCAGAACTATACACTGTAAGCAGAAATTAGCCGAAACGGGAGTTTTGCCAGCATGAGACGTATCAAAACTCCCATGCCCCAGTTGTATACTCCCTGGTAGCGGAGTGATGCCGACACATGTCGCCATAAAACGCCCCTTGCTTAGTGACAGAGTTTACGAACGACACAACCTTGTTAAATTCCATACGGAGTTTCAGGTCACGAGGTTAGAGACTCCCCGTTGGAGTTTTAAAAAGTATTTTTGGCCTGGACGTGCTTATCACTTGGTTAGAAACTCCACATGAGAGTTAAAAAAAAACATCATGGCCGTGACTTGCGTGCGTGTCTGTATGCCAGTGTGTGTGCGAGCGTATAGGCACCTGTTTAGCTCGCCGGTGTGAAGCTCCAGTGCCTTGTGTGGGTCACCGTGTGAGAATTTGTCGACAGACAACTTTTTGTAGGTATACGTTGTAACTTGAGCTATATTTAAAAAAAAAACAAAGTCAAAGGAATACAGCTGTGCAAGTGACCCTAAAAATGAAAATGCACCATCTACAACTGTGATTAGAACCCGGGCCTTTTAAAGAAGAAGCGTCGCATTTTACCTCTGCACCATTTCGGCCGAAAAACACGCAACTTTTAAAACGACGCCGCCTTACAGACCACCAACGTCTTTAGATAACGTGAGCTGGGTAAGCGCGCGTGGTTGCAGCGGCGAGGAGCAGCTCCCTCCCATATCCCGCGTGGCGGTGGCGCTGCTTTATGAGGGCCGAATGAACACTATTTAGTGATAAATAAGGGCCGCACCTGTACCTAAGAATGTATTATCACTTTTTTGCCTCCAATGACTCAGTGGTGTGGCCAGCGGGTGGCACACCGAGCCAGTGTCGTTCTCCCCCCTTCCCCCCTCAAAAACATCTTTTCCCTCTTGTTTACAGAGCGAAAAGTGACACTCGATCACACTTATCTGTCCGGCACCCTCTTCATATCAAGGTGGTGCCCCTACCCTGCGAAAAATAATTCTGCATGCACCTCTGCAATAAATAGGGTTCATTTGCGCCCTCAGGTTGTGGACGATTCCAAGCGAACGAACCTGTCGTAATTACGCATCGTAGAAATCGCGTATAAGAATATATTTAGAAACGGCTGTGCTTTTTGTTTTTGAGCAGATAAGGAAAAATAGACAGGCCGCATGGGAAGTCTTGCGCGAATTTGCGCCACAATCATGCTTTATATCAAGCTTGCAAGCCTCACGCTGGCACAGCTGACATAAATGGTATAAATTTTATGTGAAAATGCATTTCATATACAAAATCCTTGGATTTTAGCTGAAATTATCCGAGGAGTTAGGATAAAGGCTTCCAAAGGGTTGGAAGACTAATTTAAGAAAAAATAGAACACAGTGCAATAGATGACATACAGCCAGCATTTAAATAACTTTTGTTTGGAAAAGCTCTTTCACATTTTGTATTTCTCACGTGACAGGACGATCAAGCATGCTTGAGTGAATGAGCAGTAGTATAGTAAAGATGCCGAGCTGTAGCGCTCCGGGGTGTCGAAGTAGCTATGCCTCCAAAGAAAACACTTGTGATCGGCGGCACTTCAAACTCCAAATATTTCTACAGTTC